AATAGAAGGATTATTTTTTAAGGGAGAAGAACTTGGATAATGTATAAAGTAAGAGAAGAAGAGACAACGAAACTCAGCTACTTGTCTACGAGGATTAACAAAGAGTGAAGAGCACTGACAAGCTCTGTCTTAAGCTGGGTACGGTAAGAAGAAACTGAGGGGGAGGGTGGCTATGCATGTGAGATTGCGCCGAGCGGCACCCATGCACCTTCCCTGCCCCCCATGAACTTCTGTAAAGAATCTGGTCTGCAGTGATAGGATGCACTGACACCTGTTGTGGGGCACCTACAAGGACGTCTCTCAAAGAAGTATTATTCACCCTTTCATATAACACAAGAACCAGGGGTTATCCAATCTAATGAATAGGTAGCAAGTTTAAAACAAACAAACAGAAGTACTACTTTACACAATGCACAATCAACCTGTGGAACTTACTGCTTGGGATGTTACAAAGGCCAAAAGTATAACAGGGTTAAAAAAAGAATTAGATAAGTTAATGGAAAATCTATGTCCACCAATGGCTATTAGGCAAGAGGGTCAGGGATACAAACCCATATTCTAGGTCTATCTTCCCTCTCATTTTTTCCATCCATATATGGAATACATTTTGTTATGTGCACCGAGGTATGTGCAGATGTGCACAATCAATAGAAACACATGCTGCTGGCTGTGGATGCTCTGCCAATCAATTGGGGAGCATTTGAATCTCTGGGTAGCAGCCCAAGCACTCAGCTTGCACTGCTCTAGGTGTCCCAAAGCCTCTGACTGTCAGATGCTGTGGCTGGATTACAGAGGATGGATCACTTGATAATTGCCCTGTTCATTCCCTTTAAATTATTTGGCATTGGTCACTGTTGAACGAAGGAATACTGGGCTAGATGGACCATTGGTCTCATCCAATATGGCCACTGTTATGGGATCAGATTTCGGTTGTCACTTATCAGAAATCAAAGGGTCTTCAACAGGTGCAATTCTTGCCCTTCAGTTATTTGCCCTGTAACAAGCAAATGGTCTTGGCTATTCCCAAAGGATCTGCTCTCAATATGTATTTAAATTGAGAATTTCCTTTTTATTGCTGTTTGTGCACTAACTACGGAGTTTGTAAAAATAAAAGTTGGAGACACATAATGGAGCAGAGAGACAGAAAATGCACATGTACAGAGGATGGGCTTTAGAGGGTTAGTAACAGGAGAATGCTTAACTTCAGATCACCAAAGAAAACAGCTCAAGTCAGTTGTGACCAATAGTTCATAATTTTGGGGCTGTTTAGTAGCCTAAATGAATTGAGCTGGTGATCTCAATTCAATTGGCAGTGACCAGATGTACACAATAAATACCTCTCACCCATGAAGGTGCCTCTTTAGGCTTGGGATAAAGTGAGGTTGCAGAGAAACTCACACCAAGCCGTCCCTGGTCCATGAATTAAAAAAAAAAAAAAAAAAAAGGCAGTTAATCTCCAGGAATGGTAGTACTGCCAACTCTCTTAATTTTACTGTGATTCTTAGGATATTTGAGGGTTTTCTTAGTCCCAGCTCATTTAGCCATTTGACTGCATAAGAATCTTGGGTTTTTTTTTTTTTTTTAGGTTTCTAGCTCTTATGGCTATTGAAAAAAAGCTTGAAAATGTGAATGCTAAACGGATCAAATATCAAAAGACAAATAAAAAACCTCAGAAGCTATTTATTGAAATCTCAATTTTAAAGACAATCTTATGATTCTGGAGGGCCTGTGTCACAATTTCTGAACATTTGGGTTTTGTAATGCCAACAAAATTCTTTAGGGCTGCTAAGTCTTGTTAGTCTGAAATATTTCCAGACAGACACAGATCTGTGGCATGCTTTGAAACACCAGACTTCAGTGCTTTTGCAGTCGTCACTTTATAAGCTGATAAAATATATAAGAAATAACACTGGCAAAAACAACGTATAAAAATTTAAAAGACTGATTTTGGAGATGCCAGTAATTCACTCTTTGTGCCTTATCTAAAAAATATTTTACAACTGGTTTTATCAGGGCAACACCCATCAATACTGCCTACTGGAAGTGAGAGTTCCAAATACAATGTGCAGACCATGGTTTTTGGAAAACACAAATTAATTGCTTGGATGGTGATATGGCAATAATTGTTTGATAAAAGGGACATGAGCTGTAGAAAGTAAATCAGATAATATTGCAACACTCGTATAATATTGTATTATTATAATATGTACTTCTAAAGTGCTAAAAGACTAATTCAATTACCATAGAAGCCTTGCTCTTCAAACAATAGTGAATTCACAGCCATGGATGTGAAGAGTGCAATCAACTGCTTCTCACTTCTGTGCTAAGACTAAAATGTAGGATTGCCAACCCTCCAGGATTGTCCTGGAATCTCCAGGAATGAGAGATTAATATTTCATTGATGATTATGTAATGTGATGAAACCTCCAGGAATATATCCAAGCAAAATTGGCAACCCTACTCTAAAGTGTGGTTTTGGAAACCATGTTCCATTCCATAGGAAGCCTATCACTTTGGATTCACCCACTTGTGCATGCCAGATTAAAATTCAGTCAATTTAAGTAAAATTGGATCACTCACAAATTTCCAGATTAACATAATTTGGGCAGAGGTGTGGCCAAATCAAATTCATTTTAAAATTCAAGTAAATACTCACAGTCATGTCTGGAAGGACCACCCAGCTGTAGACGTGAACAATGTTACGAGTAAAATGCAATTATACTGACATTTTATAAATAGCATGCACGGACAATAAATGTGTCAAAAAATCACTTCTTAACTGAGGAAATGTCAGCATGTTGAGGATATGCTACACAATATCTCTAGTGCTCACCTTTCACGCTCCTGCTCCAAGAGGTTGGTAAAGTCATCGCTCTTGTTCATGTAATCCGTATGTTTATGCTTCTCATTTTCCAGCTCATAAACTGTGCGCCGATGGCACTTCTCTGCCAAGAGGAGCTGTTCCAACATGCGTCGATACGTCTCTTTCTGCTTTTCTTCCAGTCTGTCCAGCTGGATTGTTGAAAAGGAGAATGGACTGTTTGAAACGTCTCATTCACTTACATTGGCTGATTAACTACCTGCAGAAACTGTATTTGGTAGATGCCAGTTCAGTTATTTTATGTCTTGGGTTTTACATAAAGCAGCGACTGGGAACCAGAGTAACTGTTCTGTGAAAAGAAGGATTTCTTTATACAGTATATTTATATCAAACATTTTCATAGCTCCCAGATAGATGAAGAACAGAATCTGTGACACCTGTTTATAATACTTTTGTAGTAATGAGTGCTGCCTGCAACAGGGTGCTGACTGCCCTCCTTGCCTACCATCTGAAAGAGGAATTGAAGGGGTTCAGTGCCTCAAGGGAGGCACATCTGAGACAATGATCTTTTAAGAATCTACGCTGATGAGGTGTTCCATAGTTTCTATCAGGTAACATGTCCTCAGGTCTGTGGAAGTAAATGGCCATTGAGGGCCCCCATCAGACCAACAGAGGAGGCACTCTGTATACAAACTGAGGGTACGTCTACACTACAGCGCTAGTTCGAACTAACTAGTTCGAATTAGCGTTTTGCTAATTCGAACTAGCAAGTCCACATTGAGTGGACTCTGAACAGGGCTTAAGGATGGCCGGAAGCAGTGCCGGCAGGGCATCAGAGGAGGACTTAGAGCGTGGAGATGCTGTCTCAGGCTAGCCGAGGGCTGCGCTTAAAGGGTCCCGACCCCCACCCCGGACACACAGTTCTAAGGGGTGCCCCGCTTGAAAACCAGTCCTGGCTTGGATTGCCCGGAGCACCCACACTGGGCACATCACACCACGCAGCCATCAGCCCGGCTGCCCTTGCCGCAGGCTGCCATCTGGGGAGAGGGGGCAATTGGGGGGCTGCAGGAGAGCTTCCCCCCCCAGAAGCCCGCAGAGCCGGCCCAGTCCTCCCCATCGGGGGCGCATCCCCCATTCCTCCCTCACCTCCTTCCACTTACCCTTCCCTAGCCCCCCTTCTTATTGATGTACAAAATAAAGATAACGTTTCTTCCAACATTGACTCTGTCTTTATAGAACAAAACTGGGGGAGACGGGGAAAAGGAGGTGGGAGAGGGGAAGAGAAAGGCTGGGAGAAGGGAGGGCAACTAACATGATCAGGGGTTGGGAACAGGTCCCAGATGAAGAAAGGCTACAGAGACTGGGACTGTTCAGCTTAGAAAAGAGGAGATGGAGGGGGGACAGGATAGAGGTCTCTAAAAGCAGGGGTTGGGTGGAGAGGGTGCATTCAGAAAAGTTCTTCCTGAGTTCCCATAAAGAAGGACTAGAGGACACCAAAGGAAAGGAATGGGTAGCAGGCTTGAAACTAGTAAGAGAAAGTTGTTCCTCTTCACAAAGCAAATAGTTAACCTGCGGAACTCCTTGCTGCAGGAGGCTGTGAAGGCTACAACTAGAACAGAGTTTAAAGGGAAGTGAGATCAAGTCATGGAGGTTGGGTCCATGGAGTGCTATTAGCCAGGGGGTAGGAGTGGTGTCCCTGCCCAAAGTTTGTGGAAGGCTGGAGAGGGATGGCACGAGACAAATGGCTTGGTCACTGTCTTCGGTCCATCCCCTCCAGGGTCCCTAGGGTTGGCCGCTGTCAGCAGACAGGCTACTGGGCTAGATGGACCTTTGGTCTGACCCAGGACGGCCATTGTAAGCTCAGGGCTCAGGGTCGGGGGGCTCAGTGGACCCCCTTGATTTTCATGCACACCTGCTCCTGGGTGGCCAGGCTGCAGCTCTCCTGCCCTAGACGGCCACTTTCCTGTGCCTAGTGCGGAGATCGTGGATGAGGTCCCCGATGTCCGCACTAGCCCAGGAAGGTGCCCGCCTCTTGCGGTCCAGGGCAAGCGCCCGGCAGCCGCCAGCCTGGTCCCGGGAAGAGGGGGTGGGCTGGGGGACATCGGGTGGGTGGCTCTGTGCCGTGCCAGGTGCAGGGTCTGCTGGCTGGGTGCTGGCAGGCTTGCCCCTGGCACGGGCACCGTAGCCAGCCCGTGCCCCTTTAAGGGGTCCGGGGCCGGGAGGGGAGCATAGAGTTTCCCTGGTGTTGGCCAGAGTGGCCACCAGGGAAACCTGGGGAGGGCTAGCCTCCCACTAGTTCGAATTAAGGGGCTACACACCCCTTAATTCGAACTAGCTAGTTCGAATTAAGGGGCTACACACCCCTTAATTCGAACTAGCTAGTTCGAATTAAGGGGCTACACACCCCTTAATTCGAACTAGCTAGTTCGAATTAAGGGGCTACACACCCCTTAATTCGAACTAGCTAGTTCGAATTAAGGGGCTACACACCCCTTAATTCGAACTAGCTAGTTCGAATTAAGGGGCTACACACCCCTTAATTCGAACTAGCTAGTTCGAATTAAGGGGCTACACACCCCTTAATTCGAACTAGCTAGTTCGAATTAAGGGGCTACACACCCCTTAATTCGAACTAGTTAGTTCGAACTAACTTTTCAGTGTAGACATACCCTGGGATACTTAATGTTAGACATCTAAATCCTGCATTGTAATACCTAAGTGGGAATTTAGCTACCTAAGCCTGGAGGTTGGCTCTTACTTTGCCATGCCTGACACGGAAAATTGGACTGCACATCTGTGACATGCTGCCAGTCATCTGACTGATGAAAAATAAAATCCAAATTCGGTAGAGTCCGTATGGATTCTTTTTGTACAATTTTTCTGGTTACTGTTCATTTTAGACTTTATCACTTCCATTTTTCAAAATTTCTCTCATTACTTTATTAGCAACTTTTTACATTTAAAAAAATGTGACTAATTATACTACTAATTTTGACTAACTTATTACTACTACTACTATTATCATACTAGCATTTTTAAACACTTGTTTTCAGGTACATGTGTAAAACATTGCTAGGAAACAGCAATACCAAACATTACTATTCACACAGCTACCTTCAGTGTTTTGCTGGGGAGAGGTCAGTTGAATCAGAGTTCTCATTTAGCTTATAACAAGCATCCCACTCTGCTAGACCCACATAGTACTTTTCTGTTTATGTGTTTCAGACAAAAATATTACTAGGTCCTGCCATACCCACACTCAGCCAATTGTGGGAATCATCTCACATAGCCAGGAGTGGCCAAGACAATTGCTGTTTTATGGTATCCCTGTATGGGCTAAAAGAAAGATGAGAACAGGATTGCGACTCTTTTGAAACAACTGTAGATGATAAACAGGATAGTCAGGTGCTCATTAAATTTCACAAAGGAGAGAGAACCTGGTATTAGTCATATTTTCATCTAGGAAATAGACCTTTTGAAGCCAGAAAATTCTGAAACCACAATATTTTTATACCAATCCTCTTCCAATCATCTCCTTGATATAAACATTTTACAGAGAACAAAGAGTCCCTCCCAAACCCAGGCACCCCATGGACATAGTGCCTTTGCCACCTACTACAAAAGAGTCTTGCTGTAAGCTCCTTGAGCATTCTTAAGAGTAATATTTAATGTATCCTCCAGAATGCTACAATCTGTTTTCCCTGTTAATTAACATCACAGATATTCCAGAAAATGTCACATTCAAAATACACAGTGTACTTTAAATTATGGTCCACTAGACACAATTAATATGAATTGTACTGTGTTCTAACCTTGAAAAACTGTATATACCCTGTAGCATTTATTTGTTAGGCTGGAAGTTATCAGTGATAGTTTTTTGACATGTGGGTAAAGTTCATCAATTGCACCTATTCTCAGACTAAGTAATAGAGTGGCTGTGTGCATCTAAGATTCTTGGGTGTTCTGTGGGTCACTTTTATTCCAAATATGAAGCAAATGTTGGTGTGAGTTAACAGAGGGATCTCTTGGCCAACAGTTATGAATATCTAGTCTCATAATTTGCACTGGACATCTTGTGTATGGTGAGGAGATCTCAGATACAGTGTATCTGGATTCTTCTTTACATTTTTTTTCACTCAGGCATGTTGAATTAGTTTGATCTCTTTGCTGACTCCAACTTTGTAACATATACCATCTGATACAGTGGGCTGTTACATTACTGCTCCATTATTACTGTTAACTACTTTCCCATTGTTACTGATTGATTTTGAAAAAGTAGAGAAGACTCACTAAAACCCTAGGGATACTATTCTTTATCTTAATAACTGATCTCAGCGATAGAATCATAGAATCATAGAATACTAGGACTGGGAGAGACATCGAGAGGTCATCGAGTCCAGTCCCCTGCCCACATGGCAGGACCCAGTACTGTCCAGACCATCCCTGAGAGACATTTATCTAACCTACTCTTAAATATCTCCAGAGACGGAGATTCCACAACCACCCTAAGCAATTTATTCCAGTGTTTAACCACCCTGACAGTTAGAAACTTTTTCCTAATGTCCAACCTAAACCTCCCTTGCTGCAGTTTAAGCCCATTGCTTCTTTTTCTATCCTCAGAGGCCAGGAAGAACAAGTTTTCTTCCTCCTCCTTATGACACCCTTTTAGATACCTGAAAACCGCTATCATGTCCCCTCTTAATCTTCTCTTTTCCAAACTAAACAAACCCAATTCTTTCAGCCTTCCCTCATTGGTCATGTTCTCTAGTCCTTTAAACATTCTTCTTGTTCTTCTCTGAACCTTCTCCAATTTCTCCACCTCTTTCTTGAAATGTGGTGCCCAGAACTGGACACAATACTCCAGCTGAGGCCTTTTCTTCCTTTAAGAATGTGTTCTATGCTCAGTGTTGGATTCACCCATTAGGCTTCAGGGCCATTTTTGTTCTACCTATTTGATCCTGAGATAGCTCCATAGACTTCAAATCAAGGTTCAAATGCTATAACATTTTGCATCCAATGTAGCAGTGAGATAAATGTTGCTCAGGGTGGAAAATTTGACATCACTGAACATATTCAATCAAAGAAACATCAGTTAGCTGTCTGCTCTGTAGCTTCCAGTGCTTCAGTGAAGACATTTATTATAAAAGATGATTCTGTTAAAATGAAGCTTGTGGCAAAGGAAGCAGTAATTGCATATCATACTGTAAAACACAATCACAGATCTTTAGATTGCATCTCTAAGCTAATTTCTACATTGTTTGAACAAAAATTTTCATCCTCACAAACAAAAAGTAAAGCAATTGTGAAAAATGTTCTTGCTCCAGAAGCTCAAAAGATTTTGCAACAGGAATTAGGTGAAACTTTATGTCTCACTGTTATGGTAGATTCATCTAACCATGAAGATCAAAAGGTTGTTCCTATCTTAGTAAGATATTTTCATGGAAGTACTGGAGTTAATGTGAAAGTTCTTGAACTTGACATCCTGCCAGGTGAGACAAGTGACCAATTAAATGATTATGTTTTCTCTGTTCTTAGCCACACCCTTTACTTCCAGTCATGTGCCCATCTCGACCTTGGAAGTACTACCCCAGGGGTGGGATTTCTGGTGGCAGGTGGACATGGCTAAAGGGGGTTGGGAGCATGGCTAATGTGTCCCTATTTTTGGTTCAGAAAATACGGCCACCGTAGTTATAGGCAGGGCTCAACAAATAGCGGTGAAATCCACTCGCCAGTCCCACACCACACATGAGTCAGATCCGCAATGCACAGGGGCGACCGGCTGAAATCTACTCACCACAGGCGAGTAGATAAACGGATTTGTCGAGCCCTGGTTATAGGTCTTACTTAGATCCTGCTCTTACTCCCTATGAGCCTGATTCTCCACACTGTTATACCATATGAATGCTGGTGTAACTTTGCTGACTTCAGTGTCATTGTACTAGCATAACATCAGAATTATAAGAGAGATTCAGACAGACCGAAACCCGTGCATGCAGGATTGGGTCCACCACCATCAGACTGGCAAAATACCTGTAGTAGACAAACTTTCTAAGAGCTGAATAAAGACTATGAGATTTGGTCTGTAAGCTTTACTTCACCTGATGCAATGATCCAGGCTCATAAAAATAAGGGTGGGAGGGAAATTTCTTTTGCACGTGGATTAACTTCTGTGGAGTAATATTTAATTTACACAGCTGTGAGTGAGATAGTCTTCTCATCCTAACTGCTTACCTGATGATACTCTAACAAGAGACACACTGTCAAGAGCACTTACCACTGCTCTGAACACTGCAGATCTGTACATATTAATGGAAAAGAATTTAAAACACAGAGTAAAAATGTCACCATTCACCATCTCGGGAGGGTTTGGTTTTGCTGAACTGCTCTAAGTTCACTCTTTAGAGGAACAGGAGAGGCAGGGGAAGTCCCTTAAGGAACACAAGAGGCTTTTGGTTTTGCATTCAGAGCCAATGCTATTATAATGGGGAATATACTTTAGTGGTTTTGGTAACAAGGAAATATTGACCTTCCTTTCAATTCCTTCTATTAGCATGAGCAGTGACCACTGCATCTGGCTCTTGCTTTGTGAAATGACAGAACGGTAAACAGGCATTGTCTATTCATCATGACTCACTCTAGGCATCCTTTCTTGGGAAACTCGATAAGTTATTACCTCTGAAATGGGTTTCTCATAGACATCTTCACCTACAGATTTTTCTTGGGCAAGGATGGCATCCCTATGCAACACTCGCAGCACGTTCTCTGGAGCTGCAGATCCATAGTGGGCCTCTAACGCTTCAGGTTTGGTTTTCTCTGTCTTCAGCATGTGGATCACATCTTCTCTAGCCTGTGGATTTCAATTCAATATAATTAGACAACCTACAATGAACAGGCAAACCATACTTATATTACGACAACTACACTGTGTGTATATAGAACACACACAAAGTACATGGGAGGGTGGAGGGGGTATTAAAAGAATATTAAGACTGCAAACTCAAGCCAGAGGGAAATGCCGGAATAAAGATTGCCTCTGTAATCTTAATTTGACCCTTTGGGGGTATGAATTATGACGGTCTTTCTAGCATTACATATGAAGTCTTTGACATTCAGGGGTAAAATCTAGCTTTCCTGGATGCCAGTATAGGCCCTTAACCAAACCAGATCATCCTTGCTCGTCTTACTGCCTCCTGCCTCTTTTACTCTCCATCCTGGTCACTGGATGAGGCAGGTGTCTTGTAGAACAAAGAATATATGCTCGTGCAATTAAACTACGCCATACAAAACACACAAGGGTGCTGAATTCAGATTCCATGGTCAACTATAATTTTGTCATTTCCTACCTACTACGTGCTTGACTTTGAAACTGCTTTTTAAAGTAATTACTGTATGTAAATTGCTAATTTTTAAAAAAAGGAATCTGGAAAAATAAAATATAGGGTATGTCTACACAGCACGGTTATTTTGAAATAATAGCCATTATTTCGCAATAAATTTACCAGCGTCTACACAGCTAAACTGCTATTTCGAAATTAAATCGAAATAGCGGAGGGCTTATTTGAAATTGGTAATCCTCATTCCACGAGGAATAGCGCCAATTTCTAAATCGCTATTTCGAAATAAGCGCTGTGTAGACACTTATTTTGAAATAAGGGGCCTCCAGCTCTTCCCAGGGTGCCTTGGTGGCCACTCTAGCCACAACCAAGAAAACTCTCCCTCCCGCCTCCCCAGAGCCCTTAAAGGGGTAGACCCTGGCCACAGTGCCTGTGCCAGCTCCAAGCCTGCCAGCCCAGAGCAAGCAATCACTGCACCTGACCCAGTGGCCCCCGCAGAACCAGGCAGCCAGTGCCAGCCAACCCTCCACCACCCCCCAGGACCAGTCTGCCAGCTCCCAAGAGCCTGCCAAGGGCCAGAAAAGGTGGGCGCCTGCCTGGTCCAGTGTGGAGATCAGGGACCTAATTCAGGTTTGGGGGGATGCCTCCAATGTCCATGATCTCCGCACTAAATGGAAGAACGCAACTGTCTGCAAGCGCATGGCTGCCAGCCTGGCCACCAAAGGCCACATGAGAACCAAGGAGCAGGTTCACATGAAAATAAAGGAGCTGCGGCAGGCGTATGCCAGAGTCAGAGGGGGCAGCTTCCAACCAGGGACAGATCTAGACCCTTGCTCCTATTTTGGTGCCATGGACCACATCCTGGGGGACAGGATGGTCCGTGCCCCCCCAGGTGGTCATCGATCCTGGGGCAGAGCTTGCTGCTTCCTGCTGCTTCAGCCCCTACTGCCTCCCCAGCTACCGCTCCTCCTCCCACTTCTTCGGCCCCTGCCGCTTCTACCTCCCCACCCTTCCCACACCTCCAGGGACACTGAGGCCCCCGCACCTGCAGTGCTGGGAGACAGTTGGGCCAGCGAGACCCCCAACCTTGAGCCCTGAGTTTCTCCTCCCCGTTCTTCCCCTTGCCTCCCCCTACCAGCTCCTTCCTCCCAGGTTTCCCCTTCCTCTCTCCCAACCTCCCTCCTCCTTTCTTCCACCTTCTTTCCCCAGACTCACCTCAGTTTCATTCCCCCCACACCAATTTTGTTCAATAAAGAGGCTTTGTTGTAATGAACACATGTGTCTTTTATTGTACAGCAGGAAGGGGCATTAGGGAGGGGTAAGTGGAAGGATGTGAGGGAGGAATGAGGCACAAGCCTCCAGTGGGGCACACCAGGGAGACTGTTTCTGCCTGCAGAACGTGCTGCCAGGCTGGTAGCAACACATCCAGGAGAAGCACCAGAGTGCCCAGGGGCAGCTCCGGCTTCATGTTGCAGAGTGCTGTGGTGTCCTGAGTGAGGGCAACCAGAGCATACAGAGAAAACAATGATTTGTTGTCCCTCAGCGAGGTAGGCAAGAAGGCAAGGAAACCTTAGAACCGGCTGTCTGGGGAGGTCCCTTTAAGCACAGGTCTAAGATATTCTCAAGCAGCAGCCCCACAAGGTAACTCCTGACCTGATGCCCTGCCAGAACCAGTTCCGGCCAGCCTTAAATGCGATTCAGCGTCCTATCAGTGTGGACGTGCTATTTCGAAATAGCAAAACACTATTTCGAAATGCATTTTGTGTCTAGATGAGTTATTTTGAAATACGCTATTTCGAAATAAGACATTTCAAAATAATGCTGTAGTGTAGACATACCCCCAGAGAACTATGCTAACTGCTACATGGATTGTCAGTAGGGTTTGAACCAATGAACTTTATATTCATAACATGGATTTCAAAAACGTGAACTAGGAAAGTAACTCCAGGTTGAACCTCCCTGGTCCGGCACCCTCATGATCTGAGTGGTCCCAAACAAGGGAATTTGCCAGACCAGGGGAGGTCAGATGTCCAGGCTCTCCCGCGGCTCCCCTCCTGGCTGCTGCCTCAGGAGAAACCGGAGGCCTGATCTTCATGGACCACCTGCCTGGTTCTGCTGCCTCCTGCCCACTCACGGAACTCTGCTCCCTGCTCTTGGCCCTGCTCTTGTTCCAGGGTACCCCAGGCCCATGTGGGGTAGCAGCTGCTCCTGGGGTTCCCTGCCCTGGCCACCTGGCCCTGTACAAGGCAGCAGCTACTCTTGGGGTTCTCTGCCCTCTCTGCTTGCCCTGCACTGGGCTGTAGCTGCTCCTGAGGTTCCCTGCCCCCATCTCCTGGGGGGGGGCAGTCTCTCCTGGGGCTCTCTACTCCTAGGTCACCGGCCCTGAAGGCTGCCTCCCACCAGACTGGCACCACTCCCAGCCACTCTCAACCTCTGTGGCCAGAGCTCTCTGATCTAGCAACATCTATGGTCCACAGATGTTGCCAGACCATCGAGTCCTGGACGAGAGCAGTTCAACCTGTAGTAGCAATAAAGGGCTGTTAAAATCTATGTGTACCAGCCACTAGAGGGAGACATAGCCACATTTTGACAGTGATTGACCTAACTATTTGCTAGACAGAGAAGTATTATGAGTTTATTCCTGGCGGTGGATAGTAATTTGTTCTTGTGGTTACAAATAGCAGAGCCAAGCACATTGATTTGCTGTGTTGTGGTTCTCCCATATTAGAAATAGAGGCCAGTTCCCACCTCTATGTGAAGTGACCTTGTATAATACCTACTGCCCTATTGATAAAATGGGGGACTTACACTTGCCTGCCTCTTATCAGAAGGTTGTGAAGCCTTGCTCAATAATAAAGGTTGCAAATATTAGAGAATTAAACTCAGTAAGTGGAGAATTCATGCTTTCCTACCAGCTCTCTCCTTCCATTAGGTCAAAAGCAGCTGCTGCTACTACTCCATTGAACACTGATTCTGTGGAGAGCTAAGAAGCCATTTCAGTGCATAAGGACGATTCAGAGATTTTAGCATCAGGGCTCTATGGAGCTGCTAAACACACACATGGTGATTTTCAAAGACTTACAACTTGACCAAACTGGACTGTGTTTTCATAGGGTCAGCAAAGGTACTGTCTCGCCCCAAGACTATCACTCTGCTTTTTCCGAAACTTAAAAACTGACAGTAAGCAGCCCACATGTTAACAGTTATGGACAACTACGAACAGGGCTTTCTGATGAAAAATATTAGGCAACCAAGCATTGCAACTGTCTCTTCCTGTAATACAGAGAATACATGGGAGAGAACTACAAATATTTTATTTGCATGAGTCTGAGGAAGCCACATTACTCATGAGTGACAAAATGAGTTATGCAGGTCATCCCCAACTTATGCCAATAAAATCTGTACAATACAATCCATCATGTGCTTGTGTGTGATACTTAGGTTACATGAAAAAAAGTATTGTAAGAATGCTTTGGAGACATTAAAGAAAAATTGTTACTACTTTTTTCATACTTTTGCTGCAATAGCAGGTACATTAGTTATCATGAGTTCAGTGTTTAGGCTCAGAGGAAGCCATAAAACCCCCTAAAAAGTGGAATGAGAGCGCTTTTCTATGCATATACATGTCGCAATTTTAAAATACATTCTCTTTGGGCTCTTTCAAGAGTAGAAGTAAATATTGGATCCCACAGAAAAGCAAAAAGCAAAAAGCAAAAAGCACTGCAAGGCTGGAAGATACTGGATTGTTATTTTGTGGCATTCTTTTCTCTAGTACAGGATTGATCATAATCTGAGCTGAAAAACAAGTAAATATTTCTCTGTCAGGTTGATTTTATTTCATATATAATGACAACTCATTGAAGATGGTTTTGGACTGTCAAGGAAGGATGGGAAGATGGATGAGACAGAAGAGATGCTCAAAGGTGCACGGTATTAGTTCTTTGCATAGTTTTATGATTTTTCACATGGATATCACCCATGTGTATATATGTACAATGTAAGATATCCATGTCCATATCAGATGTACTGTATGGTACATACATACAGGTGGCCATACCTATGGTCCATACATATGGTCCATATCATATATTTGTATGTGTACACGAATAAGCGTGTGTGAATATAATATGCTCATGTTTGTATCCTCATCTTGTCAGGGACATCAGCACTGTTTTCTGGTATGTTACCATGGACTTATGATAACAATTTATGAAAAGCAAACAAACAAACAGATACTCCACATGAGGTTGCTAGGAAACTCAGAGTTAAAAAAAAAAGGGTCTGTGCTAATAATAAACAGAACACCAATTGCTTTTATCTGGTAAGAGACAAATCAAGGAGTGGGAGGATTTTGAAGTGTAACTTCTCTTAAATCTTAAGAGATACAGGGTCACAGACTATACAATAGCTTTGGTAGTTCTCAGGATTTCAGTTAGTCTCCCTACAGACTCCTCATAATGATTCCACAGGGAATTGGCTGAAATAGCTGGCCTGTGAAATTCATGATTTCATG